ATAACTGGGAAAAAACATTTGCCTGGCATGCAGAAGGTCCCAGGTTCAATCCCTGACATCTCCAGTAAGAAAGGACCAGGCAATAAGTGATGTGAAAGACCTCTACCTGAGACTCTGGAGAGCTGCTGCCAGTCTGAGTAGACAATGCTGAACTTTGGGGACTAAGATAGTCACCTGAATGGCAAAGAAACTACAGAAACTCCCTTACACTGAAGCAGACCATTGGTCTATCAAGGTCAGTAGTGTCTATTCTGATTGGCAGTGACGGGCCTGAGGCAGAGGTCTTTCACATCACCTGCTACCAGATCCTTCTAACTGGAGATGCCAGGGATTGAACCAGGGGCATAGCCAGAAAAGTTTGGTTGGTGGGGCATATGGAAATCCAGGGGGCACCCCGGCCATGCCTGTCGCTCCTTTTGCAGCAGCAAGAGCAACAGCTCTAGTCCTCCTCTAGTCCTTTCGATGGGAGAGACTCGATTCCGGGCTGCTTTCTTGTGTAAGCTGGGGGGGGGGGGGTTCCCTGTTCCCTTTTTCCTTTTTCAATTTTTTTTTATTTTTTGCTTTTTTAAAAAACCTATTTATTTTTTTGCCCAGAAAGAGGGAAATGAGACTGAAGCTTCCCTGACTGTGGCTGGGATTTTATTTTTTAAAAAAATTGTCCGAGGGGGCGGCACTCATCTGTGGGGGGGCATTGCCCCCAATCCGCCCCCGGTGGCTACAGGCCTGGATTGAACCTGGGACCTTCTGTGAGCCAAGCACATGCTGTACCACAGAGCTATGCCTCCTCTCCAAGGTGTGTATCATCATGGATGAAAAACAGCACAAGGTACTGCTTTTCCAAACATACCTGTTTGGAAGCCAAGATCCATCAGCCTCGCTATCCTGCACAGTATGCAAAATGAGAGTGGTAGAATTCGACACTTAACCGTTTCAGATTGCAGGTAAAACCCCAGTGTAAAAGCCCCTTGCATGTAGCAAACCTGCACATCAGGGTACATTTCTTTTGCTTACACAGGGAGCATTTGGACATGAAACCTTCTCTTTCCCCTCCCGCCATAGCCTGAAGTGGAACAGACCACAATTCTACCATTTCCATGATTATATGTCTATCACAATACATACGTATATCTACTACTGTAAAGCATAGATCAGCTCAAAGTCTGCAATGGTCACTACGGTGCAAAGATGCTGATTTCTGGATGGCCTCAAACCCGAAATATAGCCTCCAACCAAAAAATAAGGAAACCCACATTTCCTCATTTGATCACCTGAATCCATGATTCGCCACAGGCGACCAACAGTCACTCTTTACAACCCTACTTTTTATTCAGCAGAGATGCTTCTTGTGAGCACACCAGAAGATGCATGCGAATTATGAAAGCAAGCTAATCCTCTGTAGGCACCCAGGAGCACATGAGGGAGTTTCAATGAGCAAGTTGGTCCCTGGCACATACCTGGCACATGTATACATGCGTGCCCCTTTCCTCCAGAATGTGGTGGGGCGACTAGGAATGAAGATGGCTAAAGGAACACTGGCAGCGGGCTGTGGCTCAGCGGCAGAGCATCTGCCTGGCAAGCACAGAGTCCCCAGTTCAGTCCCCGGCACATACAGTTAAAGGAGGTGATGTGAAAGACCTCTACCCAAGACCCTGGATCAAGCAGCGTGCCATTAACAGACTGTCACAGCATAAACATAATACAACAGATCTCTCTCTCTCTCTTTCTCAGAATTCTGCAACCCCGCAAAACGTATTGGTGGTGCAAAGCCCCCGCCAAGTCACAGCTGACGAATGGTGACCCCGTAGGGGTTCCAAGGCAAGAGACATTCAGAGGTGGTTGGCCATTGTCTGCGTCTACATCCACGACCTTGATCTCCCATCCAAATGGTAACCAGGGCTGACCCTGCTTAGCTTCCAAGATCTGATGAGATCGGGCTAGCCTGGGCCATCCAGGTCAGGGTCAAAATATCCAGGTGGGTAGCCATGTTATTCTGAAGCAACAGAACAGAGTTTGAGTCCAGTGGCACCTTGAAGACCAAGGATCAAGAACCTAAAGAGGTAAGTCAGAGCCAAACAGAGTGGAGGGCCAACAATTAAAACCTAATGTATATAATGCATTAATGTCCCTAGTTAGTTCAGAACTGCCCGCTTGGACTGGTGAAGCTCCTTCCTGTAAACTACTACTCCCTGACCCTTTCCACCGGAGATGGGGAAAACTTCAGCATCCAGACCCCACCCACCCCACCACGGCCGCCATTCACCCTTTAAAAAAAACACACAACATGTAGATGGACCCCAGATTAAAACAGAGCCTATAGTTTTTATTATTATTATTATTATTATTTTAGAACCTCACAAATAAAATAAAATTGAAATGCCTCATGCTTCTTGACCGAGATCCTGATTTTAGAGAGAAAGTCAAAGGGGTTGTTTGACTTGGTATGGAACCAGGGCCGGCTCACTCACTAGGCAAACTAGGCGATCGCCTAGAGCGGGATGGCCCTTAGGGGCACCAAACTGCACCCGGACCCGTACTCTGGGAGTTTCTTGATTATTTGCATTTTTCATTCTTCCTAAAATGCATTTATTTTTGAAAATTGGTGGGCGCACGGGGGGGGGGGAGCAGAAAGGATCCTTGCCTAGGGTGCAAAATAAGCTGGAGCCGGCCCTGTATGGAACAAAACCCGATGCACGCTGCAGCCCGAGTCCGCTGCTTCTACCCAAATCCCAACCCTGTCTCCGACAACCTGCCATCCATCCGTCCTGACCCCAGGGCCAGATCTCCAGGCACGGCATCTGAGTGACGGCTGGGGGGCCAGTGTCCCCTCTAAGCTGAGTTAGTGTGAGCCAGCTCACCGTTTTTTAGCCCCTGGCTCACACATTTTTGTCTCAGCTCAGGAAGGGTGGCTCCAAACTAATTTATGCAGCAGCCAAGTCTCTGTTTCACAGCTTTAATGCCAGTAGCTAACAAAGTAGAATTTTCGCTCACAAGACTCCACAGCTTAGAGGGAACATTGCTGGGGGGTACACAATGACGACAGCCCCGAGGTGTCTCCAAGCCCGGCTCACGTCCCCCCCCACCCCATCAGCAGCATAAGCATCACCCTCTGGGGCCACACAGGATTGCCAACCTCCAGGTGGGGCCTGGAGATCTCCCAATATCACAAGTTATTTCCAATTGACCAAGATCAGGTGCCCTAAAGAAAAGGGCTGCTTTGGAGGGTGGACTCTATGTCATTATACCCGGCAGAGGTCTCTTTCCTCTCCAAACACCACCTTCCCTCTACTCTACCCCCAAATCTTTTCGAATTTCCCAACCTGGAGTTTGGCAACCCTAGGTCCACACCCACCGGGAAGTGGTGGGTGTCCTTGTGGCCAAAACAGCCCCCAAAGACCACTGCATAATCATGGGGACCATCAACTGACTGAATGCACTTCTGCGGCCATTAGGGAACGGGGTGGGGTTACATAAGAGACGCCAATGTTGGATCAGGCCAATGGCCCATCCAGTCCAACACTCTGTGTCACACAGTGGTCAAAATATACCAGGTGCCATCAGGAGGTCCACCAGTGGGGCCAGGACATTAGAAGCCCTCCCACTGTTGACCTCCCCCCAAGCACCAAGAAGACAGAGCATCACTTGCCCCAGAGCCCCTATCTATCCCTTGTGGCTAATAGCCACTGATGGACCTCTGCTCCATATGCTTATCTAATTCCCTTTTGAAGCCGTCCATGCTTGTAGCCGCCACCACTTTGGTTAAGGCAAAAGCATTACAAACTTAGTTCCGGGTGGGCAGCCCTGTTGCTCTGAAGCAAAAGAACTCAGTTCGAGTCCAGGGCCACCTTTAAGACCAACACATGTAATTCTGGATAGACACTTTCACACACACATCTTCCAATGTCTGTTTCAATGTATCCGAAGAAGTGTGCATGCACACAAAAGTCTATACCCAGAATCAGTGTTCACTCTAAGCCGAGATAGTGTGCGCTAGCTCACAGTTTTTTAGCCTCCAGCTCACACGTTTTTGGTCTTAGCTCAGGAAGGGAACGGCTCCAGAGCAAAGTCATTGATGCAGTCGCCAGATCGCCTGCTCCCAACTTTAATGCCAGGAGCTCACAAAGTAGAGTTTTTGCTCACAAGACTCCAGAGCTTAGAGGGAGTATTGCCCAGAATTTAAAATTGTTGGTCTTAAAGATGTCCCTGGACTTTCAACTCAGATTAGTCTGTGCCATTCCTTCCACCAACATGGTTTCCCCCAGAGACGACTGGGAATCGTAGGGGGTTTTTTGTGCTCCCTCGGCCCTCTCTTAGCCAAACTTCCACAGAACTACAAGTCCTCAAGATCCAATGCAGAAGGCGAAACGGCTGTTGCAACTAGTGAGCCTTAACCAGTTAACCAGAGGTCTGGCATGAACATGGAGCTGGAAGGGACCTCAAGGGTCATCTAGTCAAACCCACCTGCACAACGCAGGGAATTCACAACCACCAACCCCACTCCTCCAGCGACCCCTGCTGCTCTGTGCAGAAAAGGCAAAAAAACAAACAAACCACCTCTAGGATTCCTGGTCCAATCTGATGTTCAGGATCAAGTGGATTCCTGGGATCCAAGCAAGGAAGGAAGGAAGCCGGTGCAAAGCACCTCCACAGCAGTGTTCCCTCTAAGCTGAGTTAGTGAGAGCTGGCTCACAGTTTTTTAGCCTCCGGCTCACACATTTTTGCCTTAGCTCAGGAAGGATGGCACCAGAGCAAACTAAGTTATGCAGTAGCCAAATCGCTCGCTCACAACTTTAATGCCAGTAGCTCACGAAGTAGAATTTGTGCTCACAAGACTCCACAGCTTAGAGGGAACATTGCTCCACAGGCGTCCTTATGCCATGAACCCTAGGGCTCAATCCCACCTCTAACCCCAACTTTTCATCCCCTCCCTTGGGGGAATCTGCCAAGCCCCCCTCCCCTTTTCCGAACTCAACCCCCCCCTCTCCTCCTCCCCCCTCTGCGGGTTAGAATAAGGCACCCCCCCGGGAATACCCGGCGGGATAGTCGTAGGGCATGGCCGGGGGAGGCGGCAGGGGGCAATCGGGGAAGAAAGGGGCGAAGGAAGGCAAGTGAGCCGTCGGGCTGCTCTCCGCCCCGGCAGGGTCCGACGCGCCGGCGTACAGGGCCGGCAAAGGCCGCAGGGGGGGCTCGGGGTACATCAAGTGGGGCAGCGGCGGCAGCGACTCGTACAGAGGCGTCTCCCCGCCCAGATCCGACGTTTGCAGCCGGCCGCCCGTCTGGAAAAGCGGCGGCGGCGGCTGCTCCGGCAGGAGGTTTCCAAACTCGGGGCTGGCGGCCAGGAGGTCGAAGAGCTCCTCCGGGCCGGCGGGGTCCTTCAGGCCGGGGCTGGGCGGCGCCGTCGAGCGGGCGGCGGCCGGCTCGGTGAAGAAGGACGGCGGGAGGTTGCGCTTGCGGAGCGGCACTTTCTTGCCGCCGGCGGAGGGCCCCGATCCGCCCTCTCGGCCGCCTGCCGGCCCGGCGGCCCCCGGGGGGCGCTCTGGCGCGAAGCCCGACGGCTGCTGCAGCGAGTCGAAGAGCGCGGCCAGGCTTTCGCTCTGCAGCGTGCCGCCTTCGCGCTTGGCCGGCGCCTTGCAATGCGCGGCTCCGCCGGCAGGGGGCGACGCGGAGGCCGGCGGGGCGCCCGTCGTGGGGGAAGTCCGCTTGTTCGCCGGCTGGCTGTGGTTGCTGTTATTGCTATGAACGCCGCTATTCGCGCTAATCGTCGGCGCGTCCTGCAGGCCGGGAGTCGCTGGGGCGCCCCCCCCTCCTCCTCCTCCTGCCCCGATCATGCCGGTGCAGCGCTTGATCTGCTTCTGCAGGTACTTCCGATGGTTCACTTTCCGCTTGGACTTCACCGGCTTGTCCAGGGCCAGCTTGATGTTGCTGGAGGCCGAGTCGATGAAGCTGAGCAGGTCGCGGGTGGCTTCGCGGTCCCCGGGGTCGCTTCCTCCGCCGCCGCCGCCTCCCGCCAGCAGGAGCGCCCCACTGTCGTCGTAGCCCTTCTCCGCCTCGCCGAAGTCCGCCAGCCCCGCCGCCGCCGGGAAGCAAAAGGGGACGGCGAAAGGGTGGTGGGCGTGGAGGGTCGCGGCTTGCACGGCCATCGCCTCGCCTTGCAGGGAGCCCCCCCTTTGCAAAGGGTCGACTTTTCTGCAATGAAAAAACGTGGGACTTTTTCCTTTCCCCCCCTTTACTGCGGTCGTTTGCAGGGCCGCCCGACGGGGCGCCGCATCTCCTCCTCTCTCGCCCCGATCCGCCTTGCCCGGGTGACCCAGGCGGACGCCGGAGAGCCCAACCAGCCAGCCAGCCGCTCCGGGGCTCTCCACGACGCCTCTTCCCCCCGCGGACCTCCGGGAAGAGGAGGAGGAAGCTGGTGACGAAGGACGCGGAGGGAGGGAGGGATCGCCCCCTCCCCTCGGAGGAGACCGCTTAACCCTTGCGTGGCGCTCCCGCTGGTCTTCTCTGGCACGGCGGTTCCGGATGGGTGGACCGGATTTGTTCTGCGCCTTGGTTGGCCGTTTGTCTGCAGCTGGACGGATGAGATTTCTTAAGGCGCGAGGCTGATCCGAAAGAGATCTTTCTTGAAGAGAAGGGAAAACAAGGCGCCTTCCTCTGCCGTTTTTCGTCCTCCCTAAATAATCCACTTTCAGCCCCCTTTCCAACCGGTTTTTGCCAGTCTTCTGTCCCTGTTGCTTTGGGGTCTCCCCCCCCCCTTTCCACGTGTGTTTTGCTCCCCCTGGGAACTACTAGAGGGAGCAAAACACATGGGGGGGGGGAGCCCGAAGCAATAGGGGTAAACCAGTGACAAAAATTGGTGCGGGGGGGGGCAACAGTGGAAGGGCTTCTAGTGTCCTGGCCACACTGATGGCACCTGGTATTTTTGGCCACTGTGTGACACAGAGTGTTGGACTGGATGATCCATTGGCCTGATCCAACATTGAAGAAGAAGAGGAGGAGGAGGAGGAGATTGGATTTATACCCCGCCCTTCACTACCCAAGGGAGTCTCAGAGCGGCTTACAAACTCCTTTCCCTTCCCCTCCCCACCACAGACACCCTCTCTGAGGTAGGTGGGGCTGAGAGAGCTCTGACAGAAACTGCTCTTTTTCAAGGACAGCTCTTATCAGAACTACGTCTTGCCCAAGGTCATCCAGCCTGGTGCAAGTGGAGGAGTGCGGGATCTAACCCGGTTCTCCCAGATTAGAGTCTGCGCACTTAACCACTACACCAAACTGGCTCTCTTTGTGGCTTCTCTTGTGTTCTTACGTTCTTACAGTGCAGAAAAGGCCACTTGCAAAGTCCATTGAAAGTGGATTAGATAGTGTGTGTGATCACGACGCAGCCTACGATTATTCCTTGCGGGCTTCCTTCCTACACTTTCTCCTTTTCTGTCCTGTGATTTGCGATTGCATGGCTTGGGAATTTAGATATTAGTCTGCATACCCGTTGTGTCAAATTGGTTACGTATTTTATATTATTATAATATGCTTCCTGTGTGTAACTCTGCCATAGGATAAATAAATCCTGTGACTCCCCACTCCCTTAGGGATTATTTTGCTTTCTCTGTTTTCCTTCCTTCCTGTGATTTCCCCATTGCGTTGCCAACTCCAGGTCGGGATATTCATGGAGATTTGAGGTGGGGAGGGCCACCCCCAGGTTTGAGAGGGAAGTGGACTCAAATGGGATATGGAATCCTCGAATCACAGAGCTGGAAGGGGCCAGACAGGCCATCTAGTCCAACCCCCCTGCTCAGTGCAGGACCAGCCTAGAGCATCCCTGACAAGTGTTGGTCCAGCCGCTGCTTGAAGACTGCCGGGAAAGGGCAGCTCACCACCTCCCAGGGCAGCTGATTCCACTGTTGCACAACTCTGACTGTCAAAAAGTTTTTCTTAATATCCAGCTGATACCTTCCCACCCTTAATTTCAACCCATTCTTGCAAGTCCTCTCCTCTGCTGCCAACAGAGGATATGGGCATGGACTGCCAAGGCCATAAATACTCTCTTTTGCATTATGGGCAAGACTGGGACGCTTAGAGGACCGCCATCTTGGTTTTAGCTAGATCTGTTTTAGATAGGTTATACATTATGATGTAATTTTAATATTTTGTATTTTTTCTACTGTTTTACTGTTTTATTAATTATATGTTGTTAGCCGCCCTGAGCCTCCGGGGAGGGCGGGGTATAAATACAAAAAATAAATAAATAAATAAATAAACAGGAACAGCTCCCTGCCCTCCTCCTCTGAGTGACAGCCCCTCAAAGACTTCAAGAGAGCCATCATGTCTCCCCTCCACCTCCTCTTCTCCAGACTGAACATTCCCAGCTCCCTCAGCCTTTCCTCCTAGGGCTTGGTCTCCAGGCCCCCGATCATACTCGCCGCACTCCTCTGCACCCGCTCCATGTGATTCCACAAACTCCAGAGCAGTGTTCCCTCTAAGCTGAATTAGTGTGAGCTAGCTCACAGTTTTTTAGCCTCTGGCTCACACATTTTTATCTTCGCTCAGGAAGGATGGCTCCAGAGCAAACTAACTTATGCAGGAGCCAAATCACTTGCTCACAATTTTAATGCCAGTAGCTCACAGAGTAGAATTTTTGCTCACAAGACTCCACAGCTTAGAGGGAACATTGCTCCAGAGCCACCATTTTTCCCCAGGGGACCTGATCTCTGTTGTCTGGAGATCAATTCCAGGAGATCTCCAGGCCTCACCTGGGGGTTGGCAACCCTAGGCACAGTGCCATAGACACCACCCTCTAAAGCAGCCATTTCCTCCAGGGGAACCGATCTCTGTTGTCCATAGATCAGATGTAACTCCAGTTCTCCAGGCCCCACCTGGAGGTTGGCAACATGTCCGTCTTCCCTTAGATATTTCATCACCACCACCACTTTGCTTGCTTCCTTTCTGCTATAAAAAGTTCTCGGGGGGCGGGGCATGAATTGGGATGGGGGGGATGCCTGAGGTTACCATCAGCTGGTGAACAGAATGTCAGAGTTACGCACTAAATGCTCCTCCGTACACTTAAAACAAAAGATCCCTGGACATTAAAAAATACAAGACGTCAGAGAGAAAGCTTCTGGTTTCTCCCTGACATGCTTCCTTCGTACGTCCAGGGATCTTTTGCGTGGGAATGAGTTTTGTAGCACAGTGATCTGGAGCGGTAGGCAATCACCAGAGACACATGTGCTTTGCACACTGTGTGGATGGGTCTGAATAAAGGCTATTCCGTGGAATTTGTTTGAGGTTATCCGCTCTTTGAGTTAGTTGCATGAGTTGCAGACTGAAATCCCACTCCTATTTTATTCGTTTTGTTTTGTTTGTTTATATCTTCCCTTTCTCCCCAGTGGGGACTCAAAGTGCCTTAAATTATAAGAACCTAAGAAGAGCCCTGCTGGATCAGACCAGTGGTCCATCTAGTCCAGCCTCCAGGACTGCACTGGATGGACCCTCACTGGATGGACCCTCACTGGTCTGATCCAGCAGGTCTCATGTTCTTAAAGAAACCACTCAGGACACTGCCTAGCAATCCCTCTCAACTGCAAAAGAGAAAACAGAACGATTCCAAGAGAATCAACAGGGATTTTTTGTCGCTCCCGCCCCCATGCACCTTTTAAAAAATCTATAATTTTTTTTAAAAAGAAAAAGAAAAGAAAAGAAAGCACATAAACGAAAGCATACACAGAAACGCAGCCTTATCACGATCATCAGAAGAGCCCTGCTGGATCAGACCAGTGGTCCATCTAGTCCAGTATCCTGTCTCACACAGTGGTCAAACCAGTTCCTCTGGAGGGCCAACAACAGGGCATGGAGGCCGAGGCCTTCCCCTGATAAGAACATAAGAAGAGTCCTGCTGGATCAGACCAGGGGTCCATCTAGTCCAGCATCCTGTCTCACACAGGGGCCAACCAGTTCCTCTGGATGGCCAAGAACAGGACATGGAGGCCGAGGCCTTCCCATGATAAGAACATAAGAGGAGCCCTGCTGGATCAGACCAGTGCTCCATCCAGTCCAGCCTCCTGTCTCCCACAGTGGCTAACAAGTTCCTCTGGATGGCCAAGAACAGGGCATAGAGGCCGAGGCCTTCCCCTGATAAGAACGTAAGAGGAGTCCAGCAGGATCAGACCAAGTGGTCCATCTAGTCCAGCCTCCTGTCTCACACAGTGTCCAACCAGTTCCTCTGGAGGGCCAACAACAGGGCAGAGAGGCCTTCCCCTGATATAGTGATAATAAAATGGAGGAGACTTATGTAAGCCACCTTGGGTCCCTGTTAGGGGAGCAGGTGGGGTACAAACAAAGTACATGAATACATAATATCAAGCAAGCCATGGACTCCTCTTGTTATTCTTTTCCTCTTTATGATCGTGTTCTATCTAACTATGCCTTCTCTGCAACAGAGAAGACTCACCAACTATATTATAACAAGATATAATAAAAATACGTGATTTGATCCTCGTAATAGGGCTTTTTTTATCACTACCCACCTCGGGACCTAATTGTGTTTGGAGAGAGGCAGGGTAGATAAATACAGTGAATGAATACATAATACTTCCGAGGAACAGCTAGATTCGAACCCAGTAGCACCTCAGAGACCAACAAGTTTTTCCAGATATAAGCGTTGTCAGACAAAGGGCGCTTTGACTCTCGAAAGCTCACACCTCAACAGTCTTATGGGTCACCAAGGTGCTATTGGACTAGGGTCGCCAGGTCTGGGTTGGAAAATACCTGGAGACCTTGGAGGTGGAGCCGGGAGAGGGAGGGGAGGGGCCTCAGCAGGGTACAGTGCCTTAGAGTCCACCCTTCAAAGCAGCCATTTTCTCCAGGGGAGCTGATCTCTGTCAGCTGGAGGTCAGTTGTAAAAGCAGGAGATCCCCAGGCCCCACCTGGAGGCTGGCAACCGGCCAGGGCTATTTTTGGGCAGGAACGCACAGGAACGGAGTTCCGGCTGGCTCCCAAGTTGGCCACGCCCAGCAGGAACTCATTAGCATAACAGGCCACACCCAACAGCAGAAACTCATTAGGATTGGCTACAGTAGGGGTGTGTGGCCTAACATGCAAAGGAGTTCCTGCTACAAAAAAAAGCCCTGGGTTTTGACAACAAACAAGGTAAACA